TGCAACTTGTTGTCTGACTGAAACGTTTACCATGTAGTCACAGGCCAATGTGAATTATCTTCCCATGTCACAATTTCTTAATAACAGCCTTATTGAAATAACCATTAATTTTTTAACCAAATGAATTGCTATGTGGTCGGTTTTTATTTTAGTTCATAGACAAGGTCTCTAAAATGATTTACTTAATTAATTGATGTTATTACTTTTCAAAATGGCCGCCAAATTTAACATGGCCGCCATTTTTCTGTTATTTTATTAACATTTTAATATAAACTTTGTGGTTTTGTTTAAAAAAAGCAAAACATCACTTATTTGTAAAAAAAGTTGTTTGTATAAATATTATAGAAGTTAAATAGACTTTTTGTTGTTCAATTTGGTTTAATTATAATGCTATTAAAATATAAATTACCCCCCTTTTCCAATGTTTTATAATAAAGCTTTTTAGTCACATATTTATTATTACTCGAAATCTTCTTCGAAAATGACATCAATATAAATTTCCATCTCAATTTCCTCTTAATCACCTTCTTTATTTGAATCATCTTCTAACACTTCACAAGCATTTTTATTAGTTATTGTTTCAATGAATTCTGCTGCTCTGTCCAGGTACAATGTATATGTGAGGCCTGCGGTTGTACCAGTATTCCATTCATATCCATCAGGACATGGAATAGTTGGGAATTGACAAAAGGCATTTCACCAAACAAATACTTGGTAATTTGATCTAAAAATATGCATCTTTAATGTGGAAAGATATTGTGGTATTAAACACCATAGGTCATTGTAAGTATGTCTGCATTTAGTCTAAACTTTTGTCTGAAAATGTCATCGCGCAACTTATTTATGTCACTATATTTGTCTTTCCTGTATAAAATGCAAACAAACTGTTCTAGAGTTTTGAAATCTTCTTCTTGAATATCAACACACACATTTTCTTGAAAACTGGTTATATGTATATATTCAGGATTTTTAAAAGAAATGTTTACGGCTTTAATTTTCCCACTCCTCATAAAAAAGGGCTCGTTGTATCACATCCGGTGAAACTATGTAGCCCAATCAATGCTTTGCAAAGACCTTCTCCTAGTATATCAATGATTTCATTTACTTTCAACAGTCTTTTATCAATAGCCACACCAGTTCAAATAGTATTATTCTGTTGATAGACTGTGCTTACGTTAGAAGTTATACCATAACATTAGTATCAGGAGATCGTACAATTATTGCTTTGTCATCATTTTTAGCCGCATGTTGCATATGTAGCATAATTCTCGTATCGTCTTCCTCCTGAGACGTATGTAGATCTGGAATCGGTATTACTTTTACTTATCTTTACTTTGGAGGCATACAAATGTCTCTTCACATGCATAAGATTCTCCTTCCGTCCAATTTCCCTGCATATTTATCTTTAGACAATTCCTCTAATATCAATCTTATCAATTGTTTCTTATTTTAATAATTATAACAAAAAAAGCTTTCCAGTCTTGCAAAACTTTGGTTGTGTTGCCTTTTATCAGGTATGACTTGTATCTCTCATTCCTCTTCGTGACCTTTCTGCAGATTTGATAAATTCTGCTTTGTACATATCTGTCACTGCACGCTCACATTTTGGTAAAATCTCAAAATCTTTTTCAGCGCGCCTTAAAGTGTTGAAGGAAGACAAGAAAGTGCTTGAAGATATATGTATATTATATTTTTGTTACCTGACCTCTATTCATTATATAATCGCCTTCGAGATCATGCATTAGTTTTGCCTTGTCAGTTTTGTTAGTAAGCCATCTGCTGTAGCTAGAGACCAAGGGACTGGTCCAAGCGGGTACGTTAGTGTCTTTTCAAGGATAATGTCATTTTCTTCTGATAACATGATAAGCTGACCGAAGACATTGCCAACGGCCTTAACTTTGACAAGATTGTTCTTAGTTTATGTCACTTTCTTAACTTTCTTTTTATCGGCAAAGGTTTTTAGGTTTTGCTTCTTCAGTGGAGCATAAAAACTAAAGGTTTTATCAACCAAACATCCTTGGGCGATCTTTTTGTGTGCTTCAAGTCCATTTCGGTAGGCATCAAACAGACTCTTTTCGATCTCCTCTGGTACAGGAGCCCCTGAACGTAAATAGAACAACACATCCCTATTTACTGTTTTAAATGGATTAATAAAGTTAGTTATTGATTCTTTCGTGACATTTTTTCAAATGCAGCTATATTTGCTGGTTGTGTATCAATGTGTGTAGAAGAATCCCCTGATGATACGCCGGCCATGCGGAATGCAGCCTCACCATAACTGGCTCTTGAGTGTTGTGTTTGACTCCATCTGTAGTAGGCAGCATAGTTTCTGCTGAATCCTATTATGCCTCTACGAGACTGTGCATGTCTGTTTATTATTTACTCAATAGTTAAATTAACAGCATTACGGGAGCCAGGCACATTGGATCTGCTTATACTGAATCCGTTATTTTAAAGAACTTTTCTTGATCCTGGGTGTGTTGAATCAATTTATCGACATATACAGATAGATATTTTGCATAGTTTTGATGATCATATGCAAAGAATAATTGTAGCATATTTATAATGTTGATATGTATATGTCAAGATCATTTTCCTTCGTGGCCCTCATATAACGAAGAACCAGCCAAATCTTTTCAATAAATCTATTCAAAATGTGCCGCAAGCCCTAAATGACCTTTTCTGACGTCTTCCTTGAACCCTTGATACCTCTTGTAAAATTTAATTACAGAATCATCAGCTAGCACATCTTCAAGGTGTTCACGTCTTTGATTCTCAGCTAGCACATTTAACGCTTGATTGATATCTTCAAATGCACTAGGGTTGTGAATTTGGATAACTGCTGCTACAAACTCTTCAAAAAGCAGTCTTTCGAGAGCTTCAACTGTTAACACATTAACACATTCACTCTACTCTATCCAGATTTCTGAGAAACCACTTCCACGAAGCCGTTTGCCAATCGCCCCTAGGTATGAAACTAGCAAACGAAAAGCCCCTAAATGTATGATAGTATCACTATACAATGTACTTAGTTGGATTTTCCATACTATAGAATATGCCTTTAAGCAGCAGCCATATCAAAGGTTACAAATGTGTACTGTTGGTTTACAGCTTTTGAATCATTTCAAATTTCTAGAATTTTCTGAACATTTTTTTGTACTTTGGGCATTAATAGGAGGCATGTACTCTTCTGTAGAGGATGTTTGATATTGCAACTCAGAGGTTAGAGAGATCCAGCCAGTCCACCTTGGAACAATCTGCTTGTCATGTACACATGAACCAGAGAAAGTCAGATGAAACAGCAAAACCCGAAATATTTCCTTTGTCGAGAATTAACAAGTTAAAACGGCGGGGCCGCAGGACGAAAACACGCTAATTAACGAGGGCGAGGGGGCGAAGTTTAATAAATAAAACTTATTTTATTTTAGCGCCTTCGCTAATTAGCGTGTTTTCGCTCCGCGCTCCCGGCATTTGTACTTGTTAATTATCGATTTTTCGCTTGGCGGTGTCGCGGGACGAAAACATGATAATTAGCGGTTTTTTATTTGTTAAACTTCGCCCGCGCCCCGCTAATTCAAGTGTTTTCGTCTCGCGACCTCGCCGTTTTATTTCTAGAATCTCGCTCTGCGCCCTCCAGGAACGAAGTTTTATTCATTAAACATCGCCCCGCGCCCTCGCTAATTAGCGTGTTTTCGCTCCTCGCCCCCGCCATTTTAACTTGTAAATTTTCGACTTTTCGCTTAGCGGGACCGCGTGGCGAAAACACGAATGGCACAAATCAGCCACCATATATGACTGAAAATGTCTGAAATGATTCATCAGTGTCTTATGCTGTCAAATGCCGTGTTGCATTTCAATAAAGATTTAATCAACAAAATCACTCTCAAACAATTGATTTTAAGGGAGAACCATTCTATTACGTTGTCTGCCTTTCTTCTAATGGCGCAATGAAAATAGGGGAAGTATCTTTAATATGTTTTTTTAAAGGGAAGTAACAATGATAATGAAATGTTATACATTAATCTCAATTATTTATCTAATAATAATGAAAAACTACCAACTAAAGGCTTAAGTCATTTCAAATAAAATAAGAATATAAAATCGTTGTGGAACTCAACGAGCAGCCTTTCTGTCAAATAGTCATTGTGGTGCGGGTAAGCTATACAATTCAATATAGTCATATTGATATACAGAAGCAGGAACGGAACGGAGAAGTAAACTACCAACTTTTCTCATATACGTGAGAGTATATTAAGTTTCTAGAGAGGACAAAAAGTCAATATTTGCATGAAATTCAATTAAATGTATCTTATCGAACCCTAAAGGCAGCCCAAATCGACCCCAAACAATGATGATTCATATCTCTATAAAATTGAAATAATTCAAGAGCAGACTATTTAGAATTCTACTTAGCATAGAGTTAGTTTCACTTAGCATATCGTATATAATTTATAATTACATCAAACTATTTAAAGATGGGTATTTTTACATTAAATATTGTTATGAATTGTTAATATCTTAATAAATGGTGGCCATTTTAAAATGGCGGACACCGTTAATTATCTTATTTTTTATGTTAAAACTTAAAACTTTTTGTATAAATCATAAAACATATATTTACAACTCAAAAAAAAAAATGTTAAGATCACAAACTTACTCCGTCATAGAGAAGATATCTAAAGAAATCTTATAAAACTTATATAGAAAAATATGATTCAAGGGGAGATAATCAACTTGTTCTATTGGATTAATTGTAAACGTTTCAACTAAACAAGTGCCAATCGATAGCACATACCCTAAGTTTCAATCCTATATAAGTGTACAAAATACCCAGGGGGCGGGGGGGGGGGGGGGCTAGCCCTGTGTCTATTACTCATAGGAGAGATGTACTGGATACTGAAGCAAAATAAAAAACGCTAGTTTTATGGCACTTTATTAGAAACAGCTCAAACATTTCTCAAATGGAATTTGATAATAGGAAAGATCCGTGCTGGATGGATTTCCTTTGTGTTGACAGATGAGCAGAATAAACATGCGTTTTGTCGTTTTAATTTCAATGCACGGTATTCCGCAAATGTCTTCACGTGAGCTCACACGAACAATTTAGAACAAAATATGGACAACAAAGTCTGAAAAAGACCGTGCATTAAAAAGCGAATCATAAGTTTTGAACACAAAATTGCAAATATTGACTGGCCATATAGGCAAGGAGCGGTTAGTGTATTGTAATTATTTATTAATTATAAAAAAAGTCAAAACTACACAAGGAAAACCTGATCATCATTAAGTTTATTCTTGGAACCTTTTTTTTATTTTGATTTTTAACACACAATAAAAAAATAATTATATAAACATTAATAAAATAATGTATTACTTACGTAATACAATAAATAAAAGGCCATGGAAGTTTTCTTTGAAGTATTATTGTAACAAATTGTGCAACTACATTGTAAATACTTAAAATACAATAGGTAAAAAAAGATATCACATGTATTGCATAGTGGGTAGATGGATCGCCAATGAAAGACCAACGCCTTATTTCTAATGGGATCCATTGCTTATACCAACTTAATGACACATCTTATATACCATACATTAAAAAAACCTCGATAAAAATGAATGTATACCAGAAGATTTGACCTGTTTCTAAATAAAGAAGTGACATCTGAGCGAAACTACACAAATAACTTTCACAACACAATGTTACATAATATTTGTTTTATATTTTGAATTAAATATTAAACACCAAAGAAGTGTGCTGATACGCTGACAATATTTCTTATTTGGAAGATGAAGTATGCTAATAGTATAAAAAGATAACTCTCTGATTGTCTTTTGAATCCCTGCAAAAGTAGACATGAAGTGAAAGGGATTGAATAAATGAAATGATCAACAATACGTCTTAAGTTACCGAAATGATCAGCAATGAGCAAGATTCAAGAGAATGATGCAAACTATAAATGTTTCTATGTTGAAAATATATATAAATGTTTATATGTTTACTATTTTAATTTCATGATTATTTTTACCTTGGTACATGTTGTCATTGTGTTTTGCTAAGAGTAAGACTCACATAGGCTCATATCTTAAATGAAATAAGTATAACTATGTAAAGCTGTGGACAATAGGAAAAGTACCGAATCAGTTATCAAGAGGCCATACTCGGGGCAGGAAAAAAATCTAAGTGAAATTTCTCTTTTACATTGAATTTAATGGTCATTTGTTTAATACCATTGATTCAGAAATGGTGTGAGGTTTAGTAGTTTGTCACTGTAGGAAAAGCTGATAAATACTTGTTACTTATCTAGGAAAACCAGTTCGGAGGATTAACTGTTTAAATTGACTGAAAAAACAAACAAAAAAATGTACACTTCTGTTCCTTATTTGACGGATGTGCTCCACACCACATCGCAATCCCCTCCAGATTACTTGTCCTAAAATATAATTTAATTTTCAATTAAGAACGTGCAATGCATAGAACGAAGGTTCAATACACTGTTATAAAATAAAGTGACGAATGACTACTCACGACTGGTTTTAATATGATATACAACGACAATAACGTGTTACAAATAATAATCATTTATTGTATTCTTAATGAATTTTAAATATCATCAGCACATGTGACTATGTCTATAATTCATAAACTGTGTTTATATAAGCATAAAATATTAAAATCAAATTTACATCTAATCATTCTACTCATGGTTTTCGCAGTTTTTATGGTAGATTCAGATATTTTGCATACATAGATTATGTATTTCATCAAATATTATTAGTTTTATATTACAGATTTGTCACATATCTGGCAAATGTTTGAAAATAAAATATGTGTTAAAATGTCAAATTCGAAAAGTACTACATGAGGTATAGAATGAGTTTCCGTTAGTCCCAGTTTTTTGTATTTATTCTTTTCTCCATTAGGCAATGGCTACGTATACATTAAGTATTTTTGTTGAAGCAAGGGATAAGTTAATGATCCTTCGTTAGCATGAAGTGGCTCTACGAAAGATTCGATTGTTCAAAGAATTCTAAAGATAAATGAAATAAATAAAATAGAAAATTGATACAAACCTTTGGCTCTGGATATCCTTCATCGACGCAACATCTTGTAAATGCTTCTTTTACGATCGATAAGTGCTCACTATCATTGTCTGTACAATAAACACGCACAATTTTCTCCGAAAAGGTTTCCGGCAGTACAAATGAAACCTAATTGAATAAATGATTTATTCGCAAATAAATATTTGTTCATAAAAATTAAAAAACTTCGAAATATTGCATAGTAGTAATAACAATTAAATATTTAGATACTTTAAAAAGGTAACCCAAACACTGCCAAATATTCAAAATCCAATTCACAAACATAAACCGGTTTATTATTATTGCTAAAATATACATATATTTATCCAAAAAATAATTATTTTTGTAGAAAATCGTCAAAAAATGACTTTTTAATTTCATTATTTAACAATTTAAATAGAATGAACGGTGGGTAGATTTTACCTGATCCCTGCTGCTTATCAATATAGCCTCATCTCTTTCAACCTTAGTGTAAAATCTCACATTTTTCAATGGATCTTTGTCATCCAATCCATAATTTAATGTTACTACCTAAAGTTGATAGAATAAAAACCATATATAAATGTCATTTAACTTAAATAATTTGCGTAACAACCAAACCAGAAAGAAATAGGAGAAAGTAAATATAAAAAAGGAATTTTAAAAGCAATCAGAGGTTATTAATCATAGAAAAACTTAAAATCAAAATCAATAACAAAACAACAACAACAAAAACCCAAACAAAACATATCCTAAAAATGATTATACCAAATTCATATAGGAATACGGGAACCACTCACTTACAATAATGACAAATTAAAAGAAATTTGATATACCAGAAACCAGGGCTAAACAAATGTCTACAGACAACAATTCTGTTGTACTAAATGATCGTCTAGGAGCGGAAAAACATTGGACAAAACGTTCAACTAAATATAATTACATCGATTTTAAAACCATTACCATCATGTCTAGCCGTTCTCTCTTCAGCTTCTTTAATCTTTCTAAAAAGTTTCTCCTTGAAACCATTTTCGTCAAATTGCTGCACCTAAAAATCAGAAAACAGAAATTATTTTTTATGATGTGAAAACAAAATCATGTTGGTTTTTGGGTACAGTATTGTCATATGGCGACGCTCCAGCTTAAGTGTGGTGGAGAAAGACAACAAGTTTAAATAGTACAGTTTTATTATGTTGTAAGGATAAATTCAAAGAATATTAGATGATAGAGTTGTGGTGAAAGCGAAAAATAGTTATTAAGGTAGAAAAATGTAACACAGTGATATCTTGTATCCCATACAAAATAAATAATCACTTTTACTATACTTGTCACCAACTTCATCATCGTTTACGTGAAAAACAAAGTCTTTGTGATGTTTATATGGTTAGTAAACGTCTTGCATCAATTCACAGCAAGCAACAAGTAGCTCCTGTCCTCTTAGACTTGAGTAAAACTTTTAATATGATGAGTATGAAAAGCTTTATTTGACAATTTATAACTATGTCACTAAAGGCCAAACAGTAAAATAGGCCAAACTCTTTTTAGAAACAGGCACTGTAATATAAGAGGAATCATCTGAAGACGGACTGGTACTTCTTGGTGATCCAGGGGTCGGTGCTTGGACCACTTCTCTTTCTTGCATACATAGATGATCTCCCACAGCACGTCCAACCATAGTTCGCCCGTTTGCTGATTACACACTTGCATCAGGTTAGCAATCAATATCTCTTCAAAATGATTTTAATACACGAGAAAAACGGAAGTTGGATTGTGACATAGTCTCTCCGAAAACAAAACCGAGAACCAAATATTAACAAGGTGCCACAGCCCTCGAGGCAAATCAGCAGGGTATCAAAAAGGCACCGAATCAAAAACGACAAAGGGCACACGGACTGAGAAGAATGGTGGGACATGTCGATAACTGTGACTTTAAGCAATGCAATAAGTGATATGCTGAGAAATAAAAGAGCTTAAGAACTAACCAATGAAAAGAACTAAAACTCAATCTAAATGTAATCCATGTCATAAGAAGGTGTCATATAATATAACAACTAAAACTTCTTTTCATGTAAATAGTGAAAACCAGAATCCCTAAAGAACACAAAAACGGCAAAATTTACAATGTAGTTGGCTTTCTTTGATTGAGCCTGTTCTTGGACGGTACTGGTATTTGCAAGCTACCATCGATGCTACGTCGGCTTATGCAGAATTCATTATCTAAACATCTTGAACAGAGAAGTCTGTACGGCGGTTATCAAAGAACCTTATATGTAACAGTTCCGTGCTTTTCCATGAAAATCTGCGTATGTTTCCCGAGTATAAAAAGCGTGTGCCTTAAACGTGAAAACAATGGATGGAACTAAAAAATACAATTTTGAAAGGGAATAAAAAGGTAATGAAGCCTGTATGTCGCAGATTAGACGTCAAAAGACAAATTTAAAACACAGGCAATATTTACGTGTAATTCAAGTGGCACTATTGGAACCTCTAATTCAGAAATACGATCAAATAGAAGGAACTAAAACACCAAAAATATGCAAAAACAACAATGGATGTGCTAAAAAATTTAAAGGATAAAAAATATAATATATTTGATTAAATACACGGGTTGACCTTTTACGGACTTCATACGGCACAACTTACTCTGAAGTGACAATGAAATAGAGAAAACAGAGTAGAGGCAGTTACTTCGGCTTATAGAATGACCTTTCAAGGGACCAGCAGATAAACATTTATCAAAGACAAACAAATCCTAAATATGATTATGCACATACATGCAGTGTTACCAAGATGCTAGAGTATCTTAAATGGTGCCGATTAGATCTCCGTCGTATTGACTGATAACAAAATCACTTATGATATTGTCGCCATTCCCATTGTAGGTTATCTCGCACCCTTTAGGATGAGCCATCTGACATACCTCACATGCTGAGCAATCCCAACTCAAACAACCTACTACTTACTGTCATTTTTCCAAAAAAAGTCTCCACTGGAACAGGCTAGCCCTAATATTGTTTCTTAATACCTAACAAAATATATGGTATTTCAGGGCCATTATGGCAAGATCTAGGTCATTATGCAATGTTGGCCGCCTTACTATTCGGCATTATTTTTCTATAATAGCCGAGTGAATGAGCGCCCGTGCAGAGTGACGTAATCAACTCTCAGTGACTTTCAAGATGGCTGCTGACGTTGAATGAACTGTAGTCACTTGCACACAAACTATTTTAAAAGTTTAATGGCATTATTAATCACAATCAGCAAAGCTTAACATTAAAGATTTATAAACGCAAGAAAGTACATGACCCTCAGAAATTCTAAAAAATGATTAAAGATTGACGGTAGGAATGAGATCGGATCGGTAGCATTCAGACCTGGACATAAGTCTCAGTAACCGTTCAAGATTGAAGGCACAAAACTTCATAAATAACTGGCACTTGATCTCACAAAAATGTATAGAGAAGGATACTGTATTTATCGATAAAAACAAAAGTAAAACAACATTTCCTTATATTTATTTTTTGTTGTCACGTTTTCCAAGTTAATCGGATGGTTAAACTGTACATGACAGGTAATTGTTTACATTGACAACTGTTCGTTTCTTAGAAAGGGCGACAACCAAGATTAGCGGCGAAGTCTAAACGCCGTATTTTGGACATAGGTATTAAAGACGTTAATACTTGGTTGCTGCTCGCCATTATGCGAAAATGGCCCTCGAGTTCATAATGTCCTTCGGGCCTGCGGCCCTCAGGCCATTATGCACATCTTCGGGCCATTATCGCATGTATTAACCTCTAAATTGTCCACAATTACCCAGTTTTATAAGGCTGTTAACCGTATTGGTGTTGTTATATTTTTATGGTCCTTCGGGATCTATGAAGCCAACACTATTAACAATCGAGAATCGAGTACCGTTTAAGCCGGTGTTAGGGGGCTTGATGGATGTTGCACTTATTCATTTTCCCTCATATACAGACTCAATCAAACCGATTTTGCAATTTTCTTGTACTTTTGTTGTAATTAATGTTTACCGAAGGATCACTTTGTTTTCAGATTGGTATTTAACATGTTTCACCATGAACTTAAAACGCTTTCTGATGCAAAATAAAGCAGTATTTTGTTTTCAACACAAAAGTATTTGAATCAATAGTTAAGATTACAATAAGACAGAGAATACCTTAAACTGTTGATCAAGTTTTTAAGAGGACTCACGAATGGAAAGCAAGCTAACACATCTAATTTCTTTGAGAGAAATCATGTACGAATCTATGTGTTTCAAAACAATTAATATGTATATTGTATTGTCGCCGTATAAGGCAGACTTGTTTTTCTGTGCTCCTGGATTTTTATTATTTTTTGACGGATTGAAGGTGCTGAAAAGTGCAATTTTGTGACACATTGTAAATGAATGTTTTGTTGATTTTTATGTGTATTTAACTAGCAACAATTACATTTTTTAAATTGTTTATGATGGGTGAAAGTTACAGATATTTAAAAAATATACATATTTCGGACATGATTGAAATCAATAACCAGCCAACCATAAATCAAAAGTACAGGTATTGTCGTGACCAGCTATTGAAAATAGGATTAACGGTTTCGAGTAATTGGCAACTTCATAAATTAGACCATTGTGTACACGGTGTTATACATAAGCTGAACATCTCTCAACCCAAAACACACAAAAGGAGCAAACGTGGTGGTAAAGCTAAAATCCTGACTAAGCCTTCTTGTGCAAACCTACACAATTTGAAATACCCCTCAATACAAAACACGCGTGTTCAAATTGGTGAAAAAGTGTCATGTTTTACACTTAACTGTAGATCTGTTGTTAACAAGGATAATTTTGTTGGCCAGTATTTGAGGGAACAAAGAATTGACTTTGCTTTGTTGACTGAAACATGGTATTCTGACGAAAAACAACATCAGTACGAAACGTCTGATCTTAATCAACACGGTTACAAAATCAGTGTTGCAAACCGCAAGAACAAAATTGGTGGCGGTGTTGCTTTGACTTGTAAAACCGAAATTAAAATGAGAAAGATGGAACATGGGACCAAACAAAGTTTTGAGTTTGGCATATGGAAACTCATTTTCAAAAGTATAACAGTACACGTAGTTGGTTTATACAGACCCCCATCCCTAGCCACATGTGAGCAATTTGTAACTGACTTTTCAAATTTCATAGAAGATATCTTACCTACATACTCTAACTTGTTGATTATGGGAGACTTCAACCTTCACCTTGACAATGGTAGTGGTGCATCTACAAACTTTCAAAATTGCCTTCATGCTATGGGTTTAGAGCAACATGTCAACTTTAGTACACACACTGCTGGAAACTGTTTAGACTTGGTTATCACTGAATCGATTAATGGTGTATGTGTACTTAAATGTGAACAAGGACCTTTTCTCTCCGATCACTGTGCTGTCCACGTAGTCATTAATGTGAAGAAAGAAAACATTACCAGTAAAACTGTACAATTTAGAAACTGGAAAAGCATATCCCATTCTGAATTCTCTGATGATTTAACGAAGATTTCAGTTGATAGTGAAGATGTCAATACTTTTGTAAACTTGTTTGAATCAGAAATCCAATCTGTTATCGACAAACATGCTCCAACAAAGGAACAAACTAGGATATGCAGAACTCAAAAACCTTGGTTCAATGAGTCAATATTGGAATCTAAGCGTATTGTCCGGAAAAAAGAGAGAATTTGGAGAAAGTACAAAAAGCCAGAACAGTTCAAGAAATTTAAAGAAGCACGGAATAGATACTGTAAAGAAATTGATTCTGAGAAAAAACTAGTAATAAGTGAGAAAATTCTAAATGCCAAAGGTGATTCAAAAAAACTCTATGGTTTAATTTCGGAATTAACTGGTACTAAAGCTGAAAATCCTATGCCACAGTCTACAAATGACGGTGAGCTAGCTGAGAAGTTTGCAGACTTTTTTATGGACAAAATAGCTAAAATTCGTAAATCACTTCAGGATTTTCCAAGCTTCATTCCAAATGTCAAACAAATTCAACCTTTAAAAAATTTCGAGGATCTTACAGAAACACAGGTGAAGAGCCTTATTTGTGAACTAAATACCAAATCGTGTGAGCTGGACTTAATACCCACACATATATTAAAGTCACATCTAGATGAGCTTCTGCCAACCATTACCAAACTGGTCAATCTATCTCTGTCTAAAGGCGTATTTCCAACACACTGGAAACAGGCGATCGTTAGACCCCTTCTTAAGAAGTCTGGTTTAGAATTACAATTGTCAAACTACAGGCCTGTCAGTAACTTAATATCGTTTCTTTCAAAATTGATAGAAAAGGCTGCGCTCTTCAGACTAAATAACCATGTCGATACCCATAATTTGTTACCAAAAAAATCAATCAGCATACAGGCGTCATCATTCATGTGAGACTGCTTTACTCATACTTGTCAATGATCTTCTAGACGGTATGGAGAAGCAAGAGGTCACAGCTCTAATTGCAATAGATCTAAGTGCAGCTTTCGACACCGTTGACCACAACATTCTACTCGACGTGTTACACAGTCAGTACGGTGTCAATGGTACCGTGTTAGCTTGGGTGGACTCGTACCTGCGACCTCGTGGTTGTCGCGTCAGTGTTAATTCTACTGAATCGACTCCACGATTGCTGGAATGCAGTGTACCTCAGGGGAGCTGTCTTGGTCCATGGCTCTATCTCACATATGCAGGAACCCTATTTGATGTGATACCACCATTCATATCTGTGTACGGCTTTGCTGATGACCACATTGCTAGTCAACGCTTTCGACCAACTTCAGTGACCAATGAACTTAACGCTATAAAGCAACTTGAAGACAGTGCTGTAATCATCAATGACTGGATGAATGCCAATAAACTCAAAATGAACACCACTAAGACAGAATTCATTATGTTTGGTAGTAAAGCCCAACTTGGTAAATGTTCAATTAAAGAAATTGATATCGCCGGTGATAAAATTCAAAATGTCAGTGTCATAAGATACTTAGGTGCCTACTTAGACGAGGGCCTAAGATTCTCAACACATGTTAAGACCAAGTGTAGAACTGCCATGTTAAATTATTTGAGAATAAAGAGCATTCGCAAATATCTGACTCAGGACGCCACAAAAATCCTAGTATTGTCGCTTGTAATCTCACATTTGGATTATTGCAACGCTATATTGTTTGGCATTTCAGAAAGTGAGTTACAGAAATTACAGCGTATCCAGAATATGTGCGCTAAACTTGTTTTGCAACGCGGAAAATATGATAGTTCCAAAGACTCTTTGTTGGAACTGCATTGGTTACCAATTAAAGCTAGGATCAATTTTAAAATACTATGTACAATGTATAACTGTTTTATGGGCAATGCTCCGGTTTATCTAACAGAACTGTTACACAAGCCTGTCATAAAAAGATCAAATCTCAGATCTGTTGATAATATGGATTATTGTTTTGCTGTCCCCTTTAACAAAAGGAAAACATTTAACGACAGAAGTTTTAGTACCGTTGGTCCAACTCTCTGGAATAAATTGCCTCTGTATATAAGACAGTCTTCGACTTTGGACATGTTCAAGAAAAATGTCAAAACCTACTATTTTAGAGATTTTTACGCTTTGTTTTAAGATTGTGAATAACTATTCTTTTTTTTTTTTTTTTTAGTACAAAAAATGATAACATATTTTTTTGTAGTTCATTTGTCATGCATATGTGTTTTGTTTTTTTATCTATGTGTACAAATTTTTATTATCCTTTTGTACAACGCCATTGAATATGTATATAGAAATAGGCGTTTAATTAAATAGAACAGTTTTAGTTTCAGTATATACGAGGAAGCTGAGAAATTATACATTAATTATTTTAACCTATTTGCTGATCGGATTGAAAACTCGACTGTAAACGTGTATACTCGTGTAGACATTCCTACTTAATGCTATCGAAATGCACAACAATAATTCAGAAAATATGGTGATATGGTTAAATTTGTAGATAAATGTGAGAAATATAGCATAAATGGTTTTCGGAACACGGAAACAAGTCCTTAAATAAAACAGCGCCATGTAAAATATGTGATGTTCCTGTAAAACAGTCAAAATGTATATGGTTGTAAATGTGTGTAATGCTTTTCAAAACTTTCCTAATCTTTTAAAATGCTAGATTACCTCTTTGATCTGTGTTTGACCCACACATTTGTACAGCTTTCTGTTTAGGACACGTTGAATGATTTCTTTTGGTGCTTTTAACTTTTTATCAGGTGACTGATATATCATATGCAATACATCATCGGTGACTTTCGAAAATGCTTCCATATCATCAACACTTTCCTTTAGCTGATACGATTTCCTGTGAACAAACACAGTTTATAAGATAGAATATTAACTTAATTAATTAATTAATTAATCAATTAATCAATCGTCTTTTTTTTAATTTCCTTGCCGGTTTCGTTTATTTCCTTAAATGTATCATTAAAGTTATCACTCCCTCCGTGCTTTGTCTTGTGCCTTGTCCTGGTTTTGCATAGAAATCCTGCTGGATTCCTTGTCGGTGGCCCTGTGCTGAATCGTGTATGGGTTGCGTTCATTGAACACAATCCCTCCTTGATGATTTTGTTTTTCATATTTAAAAGGATTAGAACAAGCACCATTTCACTTTATATTAATTTTGTTGATAGGATTGAACAATAACGTTCATTACTAATGTTGCAAATATCGCTGGTTTATATATTCAGCAAATACTGTTTTGTAGTTCTAAAATTATTCATCAATAAAATCATTTTAAGAAACCAATAAAATATATTACCCGTTTATTCCCTCAAAGAAGAGATTGTCATTTGCTTGAGTTAAGGCATCGCACACCCTATAAAAAACAACAACAACAACGAATAGAACAAACAACAACAACAACAACAAATTCGACACGAAGTAACACATAAACAGTGATCATTTCTCATAGTAACAAATATGTATGCTTAACATGAGGAAATAAATACCCCAGTCTTTAAAAACGTTAATATCGGTATTTCAATATTTGGAAAACTAAATCAAAATATGTCTCAACATCAAATTTAATTTGTTCTGTTAATGTGAGAAGATTTAGAATGAAGGTAATTAAAAAACCTATTCCAAAATGACTCGCAATCACGGAAAGTTCATATTTGTACATGTACTCCCTCAAACAAAATGATTAATAATAATATACGCTATTATCTTAACATACATTTCACTGATAATATTATTTGTCTTATGCTGGTATGCTCTTCTATGTAGTGTCATTCTTGTATAAAACATATCATATATGTCCTGAGCTTCCTGAATAATAGAAAAAAGAGCACCGCTAGGCGGAGCATTATATGCCCGAAAGTGTTTTTTTTTAGTAAGGAAGAAGCATTTGTAAGACATGGGAATTAGCTGTTTATCCTATAAAATTTAACAGCTGTAGGTTGATTAATACTTAAGTCTTTAAAAATGACCTAAACCTTTGACCTTGTGACCTCAAAATCAATAGGGGTCTTCTACCCAATATGGACAATCATCCAATGAAGTTTGAAAATTGTGGGCCGAATGGAACTTAAGTTATGCTCCGGAAACCAAATTGCTAACGGACGGACGGACGTACGGACGGACGGTCGTTCCAACATTTTGGGTTTAGGGGCTATTTTCTTTGTTATTTTCTTTGTTATCTTAAGGGCTACTATCCCATAAACCCTTTGATCACGGAATTAACCTATTGTTCTCTTTTGTTCTCTTTACTGTTACATAGCCCCTTAACCCAAAATGTTTGCTCGGACAGACAGACAGACAGACGGACGCCAGGGGATATAACATAATATGCCCTTTCGGGCATATAAAAAGCATGTTTAAATGCTGAAAATACTTCATATACATGTACATATATTTCTAATGCAACATTCAATATTTACAAAAATAAGATATATTGGGCATATAATGCGGTATTGAAATACTTGTTCATTATATCTTAAATACAAAATCATCAGAAACTTTGTAATATCAAAACTTAGAAAGCCAATATTAGATCTGAGAAATCAGTTCATAAATAAAACAGCATTTAAGTGTTTTTGCTTTACTCGTATTAACTAGATCTGAACGTTCTGCCTTAATGCTATGCTCCGGTTGGTAGTCTAATAGTATTTTGTTTATTCCACGTACAAACAAACAAACGATTGTCAGACTGATATGACAAACAGACGGACATACTGACTTAAATTAACAATGTCTTACTATTATCATTGTACTACCTTGTCTCTGAAGCATATCTGTGTCCTCTCATCGTTCACTTTAAGAACTCTTGCATTTGAAATACATCTGTCGAAGTCAAAGATGCTTTTCATGCCAAGCATATAACTGTCTCTAGCGAGATAATCCCATCTATCGACGTCAATGCCCGTGCTTTTATTTTTTACCACCTTTAATGTTAAACGTCCAATGTTAAGCTTTAATTATTTTTCAATTATATCAAATATACAAGACGAGAATTTAGATACAGAAATCACATCACTCAACTCGAACTTCGTACCGCAGTCTTCGACCAAAACAATAATAATTCACCAGGTATAGACACTCTACTAAGTGAAATTTTCAAAACAACTTATGATATACCATCTCCATTTTTACTCAAACAATACAATAGGTTATTAAGTTGTAGCGAATATCCGACAAGTTGGGGGAATTTATTATAACTCCAATTTTCAAAAAAGGTGATGTAAATGATCCACAAAATTATCGAGGAATTACCCTAATAAATTTTTTAGCCAAAATCTATTCTCAAATTTTATTGAACCGACCACAAATGGGTTAAATTTGTCATGAAAAAATAACACAGAACCAGTTTGGTTTCCAAAAAGGCAAATCAATTACAGACTGCATTTTCATTTTTCATTCGATTATGTCCAAAGTGTTAAACTCAGGCGATCAATTATTTTGTATCTTTATTGACTATGAAAAGTGTTTTGATAAAATTGATCGATCATATTTGTGGCAAAAATTGTTATCAGAAAATGTAAGTTGCAAATTTTTGAAAGCAATTATAGATCAATGTACTATAATGGTAAAACATGTGTTAGATATAAAGATCTCTTTAAAAACTTCTTCACCTCCGACATAGGATAGAAGCAGGGAGATCCGAGTTCACCTTTGATTTTTATGTTGTTCGTGAACGATCTCATTGATAATATAGACAGTAACTTAAGTGATATATTTACAGTAAATGAGCTCAAGTTATTCCTTATACTATTTGCAGATGATCAGGTACTCTCACGAAACCCCTCAGTCAATGTTAAACGATGTTGAGAATTACTGTATCCAATGGGGCATGAAAATTAATGTATCAAAGACAAAAACTATGATATTCGAAAAGGGTATGTATTTTACATATATAATACAGCAATAAAGATCGTTCAATCATTTAAGTACCTTGGGATCACTTTGTTCAAAAACGGTAATTGGCACCGTACACAAAAATGTATAGCACAACACGCACCTTTTGCGCTGCATAAACTTTTTTTAATATTTAAAAATAAAGAAATAACGGCCGCACATAAATGTAAACTGTTTGACTCATTGGTCGGTTCTATTCTAAATTTTGGCTCGGATATATGGGGCATGCATAAGGCAGCTGACATAGAACTTATACATAATAAGTTTCTGAAACGAGTACTCTGTGTAAAAAGTCGACTTTTTTAACGTCATTATATGGTGAACTAGGGCGATTTCCACTTCATATATATAGAAAAATAAATATGATAAAATATTGGATAAAAATCTGAAACAAAATGATTCATCGTAAATTAAGAAAACATTTTATTTTTAAAATCCGATACAGACTAGGGTTATATGTACCGAAATAATAACTGGGCTTCCCACATTAAAACATTACTGACTGAGATAGGGCTAATGTATATATGGAATGAACAATTTGAAATTGACGTTCCTTTTGACATGATCAAACAACGCATTTCCGATACATATCTACAATCTTGGTACTCCGATATAAATAACTCTAGTCGTTTAAAATCGTATTGTATATTCAAACATAAATTAGAGTCAGAAAATTATTTGAGAGTCATAACGGAAAATAAATATAGAATCGCGATGTCCAGATTTAGAGTTTCCGCACATGAGTTATTTATCGAAACCGGAAGATATCATAACATTCCTCGTGAACAAAGAATCTGCAAATCGTGTAATATGCGACAACCGGAAACAGAATTTCTTTTCCAACTCGCTTGTTCGCGTTATCAATATTTAAGAATTATATATCTAAAACCGTACTAATCATCACTGGCCATCAATCAATAATTTGAAAAGTTAACCGTTACTCTAAATAGATTATCTGTAACCTTGCTGAATACTTATATTTCGCAAATAAGAAAAGAATTGTGTAAACGATACTCGATGTACAAAAATATTCTTTGTTTATTTTCACATACATGTATAAATCAAATATTTTGTTGTTTTTTTTCTCTCATAAAAACGTTGCTATCACTACACTTTGTTACCTTATCCTTATAATGGCATGTCATCAATATATTTCATGTGTACAACGGATAAACATTGATGTTAACAGTTTCACTTAAAATTCAAATATTTCGTTCATCTGAAAAATGTGTAATCAGTATACTCTATATTAAAGAGAAAATGCTTTTTCTTTATACTTTATGTAAGAAATTAGAAATCTTTGTTCTTCTGGAAAACATGTTAACCATTACTCTCACTTTGTATACCATTATTAACATTTTTTTATTCATGTTGGCTATAAGCATTGTATAATATGTTTAATGCTAAATAAAATTTATGTTATGTTATGTTGTGTATATCATTTTGTTGTAAATTAAACTATATATGCTTTTGTGTAAGAATGTACTATCCTGATATAGAGAACTGACCTTTAAATGGTGATTATGGAGATAAATATAACTGCTTGTTTACAAATATTTACAATTCAATATTTTTTATACATGTCTTTGTATCCCTAACGTATATTCTCTATTAACAAAGATCGGCATTTTTTTCAATTGATGAAATACGATGGATCCAGAAATACCCGGGATAAATAGAGGATATTGAATGAGTGTAAGTTCATTACTGAATTTATTGCACGAGTTGAATAAAACTATATTATGCGAGCCTCTGGCGAGCATAATATTATTTTATTCAACGAGTGCAATAAATTCAGTAATGAACTTGCACGAATTTAATATTCTATTTATCACATACCCAAAATAAAGACCGTTTAAAGTGAAATAAGAGTCATTTTTCATTGACGCGCCTATAGTTTAACGCTAACATTTAACGCGTCATTACACTATGTTTGTATATCGCCAATGACGTCACGTCAAAATATATGCACGGCTGTGCAATACCATATTTACGGAGTCGCAAAATCGGCACGGGTGTGTGATAAAACCATTTATGCAATAAAATTTATTAAAAATTCACGAGGGTGGAAAAAAATCAGTAAAATATATGTGAATTTCCGCGCTTTTACTCGATATGTGAAGGAGAATATAGGTCAGTTACAGAGTAACTCTTCAACGTATTAAAACTTTATATTAAATTCAAAGCTTTTTTTTCAGTACTTTTTTTCTTTTGAAAATCGAAATGTGATTCTGTCCTCCTTGTTTTTTTTTCTATATTTACTCATTTTTATTGAAATTTTTATGCAGTTTATATAGAGGATATTTGTTTAGTTCAGTGTAAGATCGAAATATATTTCACTTTGTGAACACCAAAAGTTCATATTTCACTCGTGGCTGCGCCACTCGTGAAATATACCTTTTGGTGCTCACTCGGTGAAATATATTCCATATTGTGAACACCAAAAGTTCATATTTCACTCGTGGCTGCGCCACTCGTGAAATATACCTTTTGGTGCTCACTCGGTGAAATATATTCCGATCTTACACTAAACTAAACAAATTTTCTTTTTATTATATGCAAAAGACATTAAATCTAATACTGAATGAAAAGCGCGCCAAATGAAAATACAACGTGACGTCATTTACGACGTCACGTCATTAAGTTGGTACCCAGTACTGTGTACGCTGGTATTTCACTGAAACAACGTAAGGGGTTTAAATTCAAAACAGTGAAATTATCAAAGTGGTAATTTCACTGTTTCAAACCTTTAAAATAATTAATATTGATTAAACATCTGATGCAAGATCACTTTTGTTATAAAGCTACAAGTTTAGTGTAATAAAAACCTTTGTGTTTAAAATGAAAATAAACAAAGAAACATAACGACAGATCTGTAACTGGTCTCGTCCTTTTTGACTAATGTATTTGGCAAGAGTGGATGTTTATTGGAATATCATCTTCATATTATTATGAAATGTTAGTTGAAATACCGATATTGATAAAATATTTCTATTGTTTGTTTTGATTGGGTTATACGTCGCACTGACACAGTATATGTCCAGGTTTGGTGGTGTAGTTTTCTATAGGGCATTATTTCAGGCATGAACCTGCACCTGAATAGAGCTTGGTGACGTTTGTAATACAAATACATCATAGTTACTATTAAAGCTGTTTAATCGTTCTGCTACCAGCACGCCAACAAATAAAGAAATGATGACATACTGGATAATTTATTGCGATTTGTACTGAAATTGAATGTTTTAACAATGAAGACAAAAAACTACAAAGAAGGTTACTTTCGACACTTGAATAGGCCCCAAAGAACTACATTTAGCACACCAGTTTTCAAATAACGAATACAATCTAGTTGCGAATGACTTGATATATATGAACGCATATTCTAAAACACTGGAGATCTATCAAGATTTATACGTGGAAATTTCTACTCCGGTCCGATTGAGTCTGCTTACAGGAGACAAACAAACGAGAAATGTATTTAACTTCCATGCAGCACAATCAACCTTTCAAAACTTGCAAAAATCGCGAAAGTAATAAGGCAACTATAGATAAAGACTAGAAAATCACCAGGGTACTACCATAAAACACTCACATACCTTAAATCCGTCGAAGCGATAAAAACAAGAAAAAGGTATTTATAAAATTGGCATTGAAAAAAATCAACATTTCAATATTACTTACCTAGGTCATGGCACAGTCCTGCAATCTGTACACATAAAATATCTTTTGGGTCCAGTATTCCTTCCTGTTTGTTTCTTATTTCCTTCAATAATTTGCCCGCAAGAAAACATACACTGGAAATTATTGCACAACGTTGTTTTAGTGTGTGCTTAAAGCTATCATATGAAGCAGCTTGTGTTTAAAATCTAATTTGCATTACATTTTCACACATTCTTAAGAAAAACATAAATAAAGTTTATAAATACGGGAACGAAATCAATTCATTTAGAAGGGATTTATAAAACACTTACCCAAGCGAATGCTCAAATCTGTTGTGACTGGCTCCCGGGTAAACCAAATAACAGGTTCCAATTTGTTTTATATTTCTCAGGCGTTGAAAGTACGGCGTGTCTATTATCTTCACACATAATTCAGGCAATTCTATATGCCCATGGATAGGGTCATTGAAGACCTTGAAAATTTTTCATAATAACAATGTAAATTCAATGTTTATTTATGAACGTCTTTAAAACTAATAAAGTATTTTCCACGTGTTTCTGGGAGTAACTGTTTTGGAGATATATTGATAATCATGATCGGTAAATATTCAATATCTTTATTGTACAAGAGGCCTCCGGCCCATACAGAGTGTATACAATATACAATACAAATTGGCAATACGAATTTCTAATACAATTATAAAATACAATCTGAATATAAATTATTCAAAACATTTAAGAAAATTATCCCTTTCTTTCATTGCATAATACATATACTTAGCAACATTACGTATCAATGACTCGTCTTCAGTTGCCATCAAAGAGTAGAACTTTTGAACATTCGGATATTGATAATAATACAATGGTATATAGTAAGAACGTAAAATTGCATATAAAGAACACACAATAAGAAAGTGATATTCGTCCTCTAACATTGATTCACAATACATACAATCACGATGTTCTCTATCAATATTAAAATGTCTACCCTTTTCAACCATTAAACAATGTGAAGAGCTTCTAAAACTAGCAAAACATTTTCTATATTTGTCAATATCTATAACAGAAATATATTTTTCACTTTTAAAGGTAGTCTTAAACATAACATAATGATTTAATTTTACATTTTCTAGACACTTTAATTGCCAATTTTGCACAAACTGGTCTTTTAGACGCTGTTCATATTGCACTATAAATAATTTAGGATTGGCTACAACCTGTGCCTCCCATACGTATCCAAATCCATTTTTATATAGGTTTAATCGTATATCAGTCACCCAATTTTTGTATCCAATACTGTCATAATACATCAGCATTTCATAACATAAGCGTGTATATCTATCTCTAGGGAGATTTATAAGTCTCAACCAAAATCTATACAACGTTTTGCAGCAAATATATACATTGGGTATCTACCTAGATCGCCAAGAATAGCGTCATTACAAGCAGAAACATTGACATTCAAAAAACGTTTACAAGCATATAATTGTACAGTTTCTATACATTTATTGTCTTTAAGACCCCACAATTCTGATCCATATAGCATTATGGATGCTACTTTACAATAAAAAATCTTAAAAAATGTTTTATGTGGTAAACAAGAAATATGTTGAAATGAACTGAGAATATACAAAAGTACTTTTTTCGCTTTGGTGGCCATAGCCTCAGCCATTTTGTACAAAGATAATCTGTTACTAAAATATATTCCAACATATGTGAAACCACTAACAATTTCTAACTGGTTACCATTATACTGTCATTTTTCTCTTCTAGATAACTGACCACCTCTTTTAAATACAATTACTTTAGTTTTTTCAATATTAACTACAAGTTTACTACTAATGCAAAATTGTTGTAACAAGTTTAGTTGTTTTTGTAGACCGACAATAGTATCTGAAAGTAATGCTATATCATCAGCAAACATAAGTAAAAATACTTCAACAATATCAGGAAAAAGTTGGATACCTCTGATATCATTTTCCACCATTAAAATATACAATTCATTTATAAACAAAGCAAACAAAATTGGACTCAAACTACAACCTTGACGAAGTCCTATTGGACATTCAAAAATATTTGAAAGATTCCCATTTGAACGTACACATGATTTAACAGAAAAGTATATACTTTGAATTGTATTATACAATTTACCCTTAACTCCATCTCTTCTTAAAATATCGTATAATATTGTGTGGTCCACGGAATCAAAAGCCTTCTGAAAATCTATAAAGGCTACATATAAAAATCGACGTTTCATATTAAAATACCTAGAGACAATTGATTGCAATACAAATGCGTTATCAATAGTACTATATCCGGCTCTGAATCCTGCTTGGGATTCAGAAAGTTTATTAAAAGCGTCGGCGTAAAAAGTAAGCCGTTTAGTAACAATTGTAATATACACTTTACTAAGTACATCAAGAAGTGCAATGCCCCTATAATTATTGGGATCATTTAAACTTCCTTTCTTATGTAAAGGAATAATAATTGAAGTTGCCCAACTAGTTGGAAATTCACCTTTCGTAAAAAGTCTATTAAATAATTTACGAATATACGGTAATATATATTGAATACCGTAGGCAAGTTGCTGCGGCAAAAGATTACCACCCGAAGCTTTATTAAGTTTAAGTGATTTGATACTTGTCAGTATCTCTTCATCAGAGATATCAGAATTAAATATCAACTGCTCAATTTCATCAAAATGTGTGTTTAAATCTACATCTTCTGAGCCGGTTTCACTATGCTGATTTGTATTAGTATTAGAAAACAAATCTCTAAAATGATTATACCAGTCATCTAATGATATGTTAGATTCAGTTTTAGATTTAATAAGTACACTTTTTATTTCCCGCCAAAATCTACGCGGGTCATGAACACATGAGTCTACTTTAGATAAATACTTTTTAGTATATAACCAATGTTTATGTTTACATAAATTTCTATAATACCGTTTACTTTCTAAATAAACTTTTAATGTTTCATTACATTTTCTTTTTCTAAACTTTTTAAGCAATATTTGCGATTTTCGTTTTGCTTCTCTACAATTTGAATCAAAGCATGCATTTTTTCTCACCACTCTATATTTTTTCTTATCTTTTTAAACTCAGTACAACTTTTATTTATTGACATTTCAAATTCTTGTATAATATCATTAATATCACAATTGTCATTATTTAACATATTGTCAACCGACTGGAAATTACCCTGTAAAATATTTTCAGATAAATTCCTGCGGTATTCTTCGCAATTGCCACTATTTAAATCATAATACACACAGTCGGATACCACATGTTTATCCCTGCTTTGCTTTTGTGACGTAATCATTGATAAAGACAGTGGAAAATGACAACTTTCTGTATTTGATTTGATTTCAAAATTTTTTACACGATCCATCAAACTTTTTGTGAGAATATAGTAATCTATTGTACTGCATCCATTTTGATTTACAAAAGTATAACCATCACTACCAGTACTTCTGCCAAATCTTCCGTTAATGATATAACAAGAAAACACTTTACAAAAATCTATTAACTCTCTCCCAAACTTATTAATTTTAGTATCATTTGAAGCTCTAAAAGTACCAATATCACCATCAACAATATCGTTAAATTCATCAAGCTCTGGAATATTGTGCGTACCAATAATAAAATCACATAAAGTACCTGTTCTAGCATTGAAATCTCCATTTAGCATCAGATCAGTATTTAAGAAATTGTTTCTTATAATAACATCTTCTAATTGTGTTAAACCGGAAACTATATTGTCAGTATAGAACGGTGAATGTTCTGGTGGAAGATACAGTGAAACATATAAAACATCATTTTCTATATTAAACAATTTTTTACTTATCAGTAATATAACACCATAGCTAAACTCATCACAAACGCGCTTAACAAACTTTGTATAACAGTTTCTAACCAGCACAAGTACCCCACTCATAATTCTTCCACCGCAGGTAGATAATTTTGCAGACAAATAAAAAGATGACAAATCAGGGAAATATTTATCACAATAACTATAGTCATCATCCTATGTCTTTTGCAAACTAATGATATCATATTGTGATAAAAAGTCAGAAATATCAGAATAAAACAATTTCGATTTCAAACCTTCGACATTCCATGAAATCAAGTTTATATAGTCATTACTTCGTGTTGGGCTTTGACCTCCATCCTATGCGAAAATTTCTAAATTAATTACATCCTTCCTATCATCAGAGGTAACCACCTCCATATCATCTACATCACCTGTGTCCGGATAATGTGAGGGATTAACACTCTCACCATCTGATCGCTGAGATTTATTTTAAGATATCCCATTTGTAAATTTTACACGAGTATCATCACCGTGTTGTTGCTTAGGTTGCAATTCAACTAGCTGGCCCCTATAGAAATACCCATGACGACCCTTTTCCTTTAGCTCCTTCAAGCACCTACGTTGACGTGCTGTTAGATCATCACCAACGCGAATACCTTTGTCACGCAATCGAGATCGACCGGCATAGACATGAGCCTTGTCATCCTCAAACCGGAAATGGACTATTGTAAGTGGTGTGCTATCGCTGGTAAGTTGACCAAAACATTGTACGTGTTTGATATCATCAGAACGCCAGCAAATCTTATCATCAGCAACTTTGAGCACATTGTCAATAACAAATTTTTTACGGCTTGTCAAATTACTCTCAGGGTCTATTTTAAGCCCAAAAATTCTAATTTTTTCGCGATTCGCATATCGTTCTAAAAAGTCAAGGCCACTTTCAAGCTTCGAAATATTATCTTCATGTCTATTACATCGACCATCTATATAATCGGTATCAATCCTCAGATTTTCACTTAAATCTTGCAACTTTAGGACATCCTTTTCACATTTTCCAACCCGTATTTCATTTATTTTCTGTTCTTTAGACACTTTAGTTACATCAGATCTAAATTCATATTATTGAAAACTTGGAGGGTATAAAGCAAAATACAAATTTCAAAAACTATGCAAAGCAGGTCGTTTAAATATCAAAAACGAGTGTTTACAAGCGTGTCTTGGGGCATCCGTGGCCGAGTGGTTAAAGTCGTTGACTTCAAATCACTTGCCCCTCACCGCTGTGGTTTCAAATCCCGACAGGGACTTTGGATTCTTTTATGTGAGGAAGCTATCCAGCTAGCTTACGGAACGTCGGTGGTTCTACTCAGGTGCCTGTTCGTGCCTGAAATAATGCACCGAAGGGCATCTGAGGTCTTCCTCAACCAGTAAAGCTGGAACGTCGCCATGTGTCCTATACTGTGTCGGTGTGACTTAAAATTCAACTAAACAAACAAACAATCAAACAAACAAACGTGTCTTTTTTATTTATGTTTGTTTAATACGCAAGAAATCATAACAGACTAGTTTCCTATCAAACTTTTGAACTACTTATTTAGCAGGTTAAGAAGCGATATTTTTGTGCATTTGCCGCTCGCTGTATTGGATATAGAAAGGAATCAGTATATCTGGTAGCAAGAGTTAACATTTATTAACAGTTTGAATATAATCTTTGGTTACATGTTAACAGCCCGAGGGTTGAAAAGTAAAAATTGCAGAATTATGTTACTTTTGGAAATACGTTTTTCCAGTTTAATCCTTCAATTTTTGAATGAAACATCATTCCAACTTAGTTCCACTGGACGTTACGCCATACAGTTTCGAATACTTTATGCAACTTGTACGTTTAAACCCTTCCGCATTTTACACGAATCCAAAATTCTGATAATTATTAAATTTAAGTACAAAAAAACCATTGTGTTGTTTATAAAATTCTCTAAATTTTGATACCAAATCTGCCACTATTTTGCTCAATTAAGTACAAAGAATTTCCATATTACCAAGAGCTGACTTTCTTTTGCAATAAAATACGAAAAACTGTGATATTTTCCGACAATATATAAACACTTGATAGATATTATGCATTTTCAAAACTTTAGTTCAATATATGCAATATTCATAAAAGTCAGAGAATGTTTGCATTTTACAAACTTTGCATCACCCTTTAAATAATATCCAGCTAGCTTATGAAAAGTCTGATTCTAAGACGATGCATCGACAAATAAATACAGCCATACCTGAGGGCAAGCTAAATTGTTCATGATTTGTATAAATACTTATTTTCACCGCTCAGATTACGTCACATGCCTAAAAATGAATCATCAACAGTGATTTTATTGCGTATTTACACACACTTTTGGTCCTTATCTCTGTTCCAAAAGAGGAAAATATGGGTTGTGTTACAAAATTTAATATCATAGAGGTTTCCCTTCACAAGTTTTGTTGGATAGTCGCCATATGATCTATACTGTGTTGGTGCGACGTTAAACACAGCAACAACAACAGCAAAATCTTAATCATACGGAATTATGCGAAATTTTAACATTTTCAAAACTTTGCATTAGTTAATATATCAACAGGTTTCAAAGTCCTGCGACCTTTCCAGACGTAATATGAACTTTTGATAGATGTTACGCATTTTCAAAATTTTGTGCCACTTCAAACCGAAGTGTATTACGTTACTTGAGGGTCATTTATGAGCTCTGCATTTTATCTGTTATGTTTATATTGTTTTATCTGCACAACAGGAGCATCTTCAGTCCACTAGTAGATAATGTAGGTAAACAATACAAATATGATAACGGAAATTTATTTAGATATGAAGGATAAAACAGCAACAATTCAGGAGATATGGACGAATTTATTGATTTAACTAAACTTTCTTACATCACGGAAAAATATACAATTTTACATGCATGGTGGAGTTCAGGGGAGGACATTCCAAGGACAAATTTTAAAATAGTTATCTTTAGAATTATTTGATGTGTCTAAGAAATATGCGGCATATCATTAATCTGCTATGTCACATTTCTTTACCATTTTTCTAGAATATTAACATTTATACAGTATTACAAATTTGCGTTTTAAATAATGATTTCTTCAACATAACTATACTGTTATTTAATAATTCAGGACACTATGATCTCGCTCAGGTTTTGCAATGATTGGTATTTATTGTTACTGTTCTAGCTACTTTTGAACAATCTTACCTTGCTGCATCTTCCCATGATTTCTTCCATAACTTTAGTTAAGTTCACCTAATAAAGACGTTTAGAAAGAATGTATTTATATGTAATTAATTGCTTATACCGTTTTGAATGTTAAACATTACGTCGACAGATGAATGTAAAATTAAATAAAAAATTAAGATTATGTTCAAAAAATAAAACCATAGCCAAGCATATAAATAAAGTATAGCAATCAAGTATACAAATAAATAACGTACAGCCAAATATACAAATATAGTTTTACCAAGTATACAAATAATGCATAGCCAAGTATAAAATAAAGTATGGCTAAATATACAAATATAGTTTAGCCAATTATACAAATAATGCATAGCCAAATATAGAAATATAGTTTTGCCTAGTGTACAAATTAACTATAGCCAAGTGGTGAAAAAAGTAAATTAATAAGATTTTGCCATAGCTTTCATACATCTTATAAACAGTCTAATGAAGTATCAATAGTTTTATAATTGTAACATATTATTTCTTTGAGATCTCTTTTCTCCAAAGTAAAACAATGAAAGGACTGCTATAAATGAATTCTACTCACTTGATAGGTAGTCCTTTACGTATGATATGTACAGAAGATATGTAACGCTGTATTTTAATCGGTGGCCTTGTTAAATTATCTTTATTTTAGAACAAGCTTGCACGTGTAATATTGTCCCTGTCATATTGTAGATAAAGACAATCTATGAAATTTTGATAACCATGATCTATGAAAATTTTACAAAGATTTATATGTTCTTGCAGTAATGATACTAATGCACTCGCGACACATATGTTAACTTTTAAGTGACTTTTAACATACTTATTTAAAGCAAGTCTGCAATTTTCATGTTATAATTAATTTGCTGTTTTTCATAGCTTCCGAAGGATCACATTTTTTAAGAGTTTTAATTACGAAGCCATTTACTGCTTTCCGTACTGTTGGCTAGAATCATTGAAAATATTTTCAAGTAAAGTCGTTCCGTTGTCACCACACAGAAATGACGTTTAAATAACCTCATGCGTAAGGAATATGAAAAGACGGTACACTTTATGACAGAATATTCAAACAGTAAAAATATAATAATATAAGATAACAAGATAACACAAAAATAGCAATTTTCATTACACAGTAGCAAGGTTTTTAAAACTGTATTTCGGTCTGTGATATTTTAACAAATGTTGTAAAATAATTGTATGAAATGTTACTGTAGAAAAGAACTAGGAATTATTACTTGAATAAGTACCAGGAGCACGTTATTTCTCTGCAATGAAAGTATTGTGAAGCGGCAAACGCAAATTTTCGGCCGTTTCCGTCAGTCTTCGAATAAGGACCCCGAACACAATAGTAAGAATACACAGAAAGGATAGGTATTTCTCCCTAATCTAAATCAAATTGTACATCAGTTGGCATATTTAAAATGAAAATGGTTGTCAGACATACTTTTTATTATAATTGTACCGAAACAGATGTCAAATTACAATTATTTTACATTATTGAAGATTACACAATCCACTGAAACCACGTGGTAGAACTTCTTTTAATCTGTATTAACTCCATAATAGCCGAGGTCGTTTTGATTTCTGTAACGATTCTCTGCATCGATTCACAAAAAAATGTTGCATATCATGTTTAATAGCGTAAACCATAATTATTTTGACGCGAACGCGTATTTATAGTAATTGATTTCATTCCTTTGTAATATGTTATATCAATTTGATTTACTTTTCATCAAGATATTTACATATTCTTATATAAAAACTCATAATTAGTAAAATGTTAACAAGGTCATCACTTCATCAACAGAACCATTTTATAGAAAGTGTTAACTAAACCATTTTCTTCCATTGCATCTCTTTCAACGTGAACGATGTCCTCTCTTCCCATTGCTAGGCAACTGCGCTAATACTCTGTAAAAGTTTAAAGAAACCTTGATCACTTAACAACTGTTTTCTAAAATGAAAACAAACTTGTAACTAAGCTAACAATAAAATATAAGATACAGTAAAATAAAAACACCATAACACATTTAAGCTCTGTAAGATCTGTAATTTCTGCCGCAATCTGATCATTAGCTACAATATTAAAAATTAGTACCGCTAAAGACTTAATGTACGTCAATTGGAGCTTTATCTGATATAAGCTAAACTATTGCAATGAACTAGATATATATGGTTATAAAGCTTTTACTGACAAAAGCACATTAGCTGAATGGTGTCTTAGTAAATTTTCACAAGACATCAGATCAATGTCAGAAAATACCACAGAGCTTGCAGCCCTTTGATTAACTAAAGGTGCGCTTTAGATTTTTGAAGATGAATCATTTCATAATTTATATCCTTTAAAAACATCATTCTAAGTTTTTAGAAAAGTTAAATAATTCATTACAAAGAGATTCTTTCTTCTTTATAAATATAACAACAAATAAGTACTTGATATCTGTCACTGGTATATCGATGCGACAAAGTATTCGCGCAATTTATGGATACTGCAATTGAATTCTTTTACTGTATATTGCTAATGCAAACATCTGTGTATACAAGTTTTGATATCTCGTTTATTTATTTAATGATGTTTAAAACCAATTATTTACTTCTTTGTATACTTGATATATAAATTCAAGTGAAACCTTAACATTTAAAATGGACTTCTCTTTATTCTAATTGCGATACTGACATATTCGTTGCAACCGAGAACTCTAGCATATTTCTGATACTTTGTTAATAGACCGTTAATAACAGGTCATAAAAAAGCTCCCCAAACTATCCAGTCTACTTTATATGTTTAATTAACAGGGGATCAGACTTTTGACTGCTACTAGCATAGTATACAGAAAGATAAATTAAGACTAGGTGCATTTCAACGACTATTTAAAGCGAAACAATATCATTTGGTCAAAGTCTTAATGTACGTCAAATGGAGCTTTACCTGATCATAAGTTGCAATATCATTAGTTTCGCCAAAGACAAAATGTTGGACAACTGAAACTTTATCTGATCATAAATTGCAATATCATTAGCAAAAGACTTAATGTACGTCATTTGGAGCTCTATTTGATTCGAAGAGAGCCACGTGACTTGAAGAGGGTAAACATTCCCAGTGCCCAGCGTTTATGAACATTTAAACTTGCTACAAATTTCTTAGCAGTCAACAAAATCGGTGATTTACAGACAAATAATGTTATGCATGAACTATTATATTACAACAGATACTTCAAAAAGTTATTTATTATTGAACTTGAGCTTTAAAAATAATTAATAGTACAGTTATACAAATCAGAGTAATCACGTTTCAGCTGAAGCTAAAATTAAACAATTTTGTTAAATTATTAAAAGAGATTATAGTGAAATTATTAGGAAATTCTATCGATACCCACTGCATAAATGCATAACGTTTTTATGTTGGTGGTCATGTAAAAGTTAAATATAACCTATTTAATATGGTTACTTTTAAATAAGACCATTTTATCCTTGGAAAAAATCCGGTGGTCTTCACCTATAGGTTATCAACATTATTACGATTTGTTAAGGGCATTTCCTAGTAATATATTTTATTGACTACAATACTACTAAAATTTTATGAGAAAAATTTCTCATAGAAATATGTTTGAGAAAAATGAAATTGATGGTTAAGCTTTACAGTAGGGTTGATAGTGAACTTTTAAATATTAAGGCCAAAAAATGGCTGATTAATTAATCCAAGTTTCAATATCATAAGTGTTAGTTATCTAGATAGGAAACTTGCAGCATCTGCAATATCTCAGTGTTTTCTTGAACGACATTATCTAAGGGATAATCTATATAAAAAGTGTCATCATAAAAATGTTGTCTGCTTGAGGGAATAGAGTGCATGCCGAGACTCAAGTTGACTCCAGTAGAACACAACAGACTTCTGTTTAACAGAAACTTTTCTTAGCTTTAACCCTAGACCTAATCTGGAATAGTTTTACATTGGGTTTTCAAATATGCATTGTCCTTTCTTTTCATCAGTCCTTGAACTTCTTGTTCATATAATATCATCCTGTATATATCATACTTATGTTTAAAAAATGTTTAACTAATATTTTTCCTACATTCATGGCACCATAGCCGTGCTTTCCCTACGAATTGCCCTTCTTCACTTCATAATTTAAATTTACAAGAAATGCTTCATGTACAATTTTAGAAACAAATGTAACTTTCAGAGTAAAATATAAAGTCCATTCTTTTTCTTTGACTTTTATTATTTTAATTCGCATTTATTTAACAGTAGAAAAACAAGTGGTTCTTTACTATAAACACTTGATATCTGAAGACAAAGCAGTAGTTTAAATTGCATTTGAAATATTTATAAACACAATGAATATTATTAATGGATAATTGCATCCTGTAATATCAACTGATACTTTAGCTTTTCAGTAATTAATGTGGTCAAGATGTGTGTATTCCTTCATTCTCTGTAGTAAATTGTTGTATTTACAATAGCAGCCGTGTGTATAGTCACGTTACGGGCTTTTCGATACAGAGTATAAGATGCAATAATTCTGGTTCCGCCAAAGACAAAATATACGTCAACTTGAGCATAACCTGATCATAAGCTGCAATATTTTTGGGTACGCCAAAGACTGAATGTACGCCAACTGGAGTCTTATATGATCATTAGGTGCAATATAATTGGTTCCACCAAAGACTTAATGTACGCCAACTGGAGCTTTGTCTGATCATAGGCTACAATGCCATTGGTTCCACCAAAGACTTAATTTACGTCAACTGGAGCTTTGTCTGATCATAGGCTACAATGCCATTGGTTCCACCAAAAGACTTAATGTACGCCAACTGGAGCTTTGTCTGATCATAGGCTACAATGCCATTGGTTCCACCAAAGACTTAATGTACGCCAACTGGAGCTTTGTCTGATCATAGGCTACAATGCCATTGGTTCCACCAAAGACTTAATGTACGCCAACTGGAGCTTTGTCTGATCATAGGCTACGATGCCATTGGTTCCACCAAAGACTTAATGTACGCCAACTGGAGCTTTATTTGATCATAGGCTACAATGCCATTGGTTCCACCAAAGACTTAATTTACGTCAACTGGAGCTTTGTCTTGATCATAGGCTACAATGCTATTGGTTCCACCAAAGACTTAATGTACGCCAACTGGAGCTTTTTTTGATCATAGGCTACAATGCCATTGATTCCCCCAAAGACTTAATTTACGTCAACTGGAGCTTTGTCTGATCATAGGCTAAAATGCCATTTGATTCCCCCAAAAACTTTCTTTACGTCAACTGGAGCTTTGTCTGATCATAGGCTACAATGCCATTGATTCCGCCAAAGAGTTAATTTACGTCAACTTGAGCTTTGTCTGATCATAGGCTAAAATGCCATTGATTCCGCCAAAGACTTAATTTACGTCAACTGGAGCTTTGTCTGATCATAGGCTAAAATGCCATTGATTCCGCCAAAGACTTAATTTACGTCAACTGGAGCTTTGTCTGATCATAGGCTACAATGCAATTGATTCCACCAAAGACTTTATTTACGTCAACTTGGAGCTTTGTCTGATCATAGGCTACAATGCAATTGATTCCGCCCAAAGACTTAATTTACGTCAACTGGAGCTTTGTCTGATCATAGGCTAAAATGCCATTGATTCCGCCAAAGACTTAATTTACGTCAACTG